ATGATCGTCCATTGAAACCTCCCAAAATGTGAATACTGATATTATACAGTGGTTACCGAGCTTATTACAGAATTGTTAATTATATTTTACTACAAGAAAAGCGTGATGAGACTGAAAATTATTTATTGTTTCTGAAAGGGCATTTTTATGTTATTTTCTCTTTGAGATACTAGCATGTTTCTGACTTGTCCCCAAATAAAAACGGTTGTGGTTAAGTGTTATTACTCACTGAGCTAGCGACTCATTCCCCGCTAATTTTTTTTTTACAGAGACAACAGTTGACGCAGGCGAGGATTTCGTTAATTAGAGCGTACAGGTTGAGAATTCTTGGTGAGCCTCGCACTTGTTCGCGTGGGCGGAGATGTTTATCAATTGTTATAGTCTTTTCTTTGAATTCTTAGAGTCGCTCCATAGTCATTCTTTTAGTTTCATGAGTATTATTTTGCTATTAGTCTTTTGTTGAGTATCGTTCTTTATTATCAAGGTTGGAGATAAATTAGTATTTCCGGTTGTTAGTGGGTTGAGTAGTAATGGTGGAGACTCGTTTTGGTTGATTGATTGATTGTCAATTGTTGGTATGATATTAGGATGTTTGGTTGTTGATTTCTAAGCAGGTTTATTTTTGGGTATAGTCCAAAAACTAGGGAAAACTCTGTCCGATTTTTCTGAAAAATACCGAATGAGGCTTACTTGGGGCACGTGTCCTAGGTGCCGGGTCATGATCCTAAATTTGGGGTCGTGACAATTTGGTTTAATTTTACCTCTTCAAAATTAAGCTTTGATAAATGATAATTTTTCAAGAAAAGAATTTACACATTTAAGGACAAACACAAATATAATCACCGATCTTTCTTGAAATTAATCCAAGTGATAATTAATTCATGTTTCTTTTGTTGTCTCTTTATTGTAGAACTTATGAATTGTGCAATAAGATGTCTGAACTCCAAGAACAAACTTATGAAGAGAAATTTGTGGGTTAAAATCAGGCAAATAATCGATTGAAACTTCGTACGGATAATTATTTTTTACTTAAAGATGTATTCATTTTGATATTTTAAAAGAATTTAAAAATTAAAAAATTGATTTAAGTAAAAACAAAATCTATACTTAATTAAATTTTCACAGTTCATCTTCATAATTAAGATGATTTTCAATCAGTTTGGCTATGATAAACAAGTCATCCTACCAAGAATCCATATTTATTAATTCACCAAAACTTTGCATGTACCTTATGCTTTCATGTATAATTACTTACTCAACACATCTTTAAAATTTATTATTATTAATTAATTTATAAAAATTCATGATATTACTTTATTCGGCATTAACACGTGCAACGCACGGTCAGAAAAATAGTTATATATATATATATATATATATATATATATATATATACATATATATATACATATATATATATATATATAAATTTATTAAATACTATAATTATTGGACTATAAACACATTTATAATTGTATGTTATAACTTGAAATTATTATATAAACTTATAAATTTTAAATTTTGGATTCGCCTCTAATAAAGTCATTCTCGGCTTTCTTGCAAACAATATCTATAATAGAGTGTAGGTCCTGTACTAGGATCTAAAGATAGTAAACTTCCAATTTAGGTTCCTTCTATTTTTCTGTTGTTTTGGGGGAAGGGGATCATATCGAGTATTAGGATCGTAGGTTAGGAGGTAGTTGAGTCTTGCCTTACTTCGTACCTTTGTGAGACTAGTCTGGTAGAGTTTTTGTCTAAGATAGCTAGTGACAACATCGTGTCTTACTACTTTTTCGTTTCTCATAGTGTCGGGGTCTATTTACTGGCTATCGCTTTTGCTTTGCATCTATCTTCTGGTTTTCATTTTGTTGCTATTTTTCCTATGATTTCTGTGGTGGTATTGATATTGTCTCTTTTTGTCTTCTTGAGCCGAGGGTTTTTCGGAAACAACTTCTCTACTCCTTCGAGGTAGGGGTAAGGTCTGCGTACACATTATCCTCTTCAAACTCCACTAATGAAATTTTACTAGTTCGCCGTTGTTATGTAGCAATAAAAGGTAGAAAGAAGCCGAAAGTGTCGAATAGGGGTGTCAACATAGTTGAGCAGTACCATGTTCCATAAAGTAGGGAAAGTCCTGAGTTTAAACCAAAGTACACAGCTGTAACCTTCTTGGAAATTCATATAGGACATAATTGGTCAAAATTTAAATTATTGGAAATTAAATGGTGGATTAATTTTATATCTTAATTGAGATTTACTAGACATTATTTTATGAGTTGTCCTTCAAAATTTACATTTTTCAATCAGATTTAAAAGGTTTTCGAGATCACGTTTGAATGAAATGCCGATTTAAAAATATCAATACTTAGTCCACGGGCTTGGATCAATGTTCTTCTCCCACTCAAACCGGGAAAAGCCGTTCACCCAATGTCTTAAACTGAAATATTATAAAAAACCGCCTTGACTCATGATCTTTAAAACCTAAAACTTCAATCTCACAATATTTTGCAAATTTGCAGGGTAAGACTGCGTACGATAGACTCTTGTGGTCCGGCCCTTCCCCGGACCCCGCGCATAGCGGGAGCTTAGTGCACCGGGCTGCCCTTTATGTCTCTAACAGGTATGAAAAGAGGCAGAAGCCGAGAAGATATAATCAGCAACTTGCCAACTGATGTAATATATTGTATTCTTGGGAAAATGCTTATACGTGATGCTGTAAGAACGAGTGTGTTATCAAATTAAAGAAGTGGAGATTTTACTACTTGAACATTCCAGAGTTAGTTTTTGATGAAGAATTCTGCAAAGAACTTAAAGACATTGCAAGAAAGAAATCTCGTGTATATCGATTTGATGAATACCGTGAATATATGTATCAATTTGATAAAATTGTCACCAAGTCTCTTATGTTTCATCTTGGTCGAATAGAGAGATTTAAAGTTTGTATTCCTGATTTCAAGTCAGGTAGGAGGGTTCTTGATGTTCTTGATTTGAACAAATGGATATTATACTTGTTTTCGAAGAACATCAAGAAACTAACCTTAAAACACAAGGACAAAAACATTGAACGTCTTAGGTTACCTCCTTATTTCTTTTCTTGTTTGGAGTTGACGTACTTGAAGCTCCAAAATTTTGTTCTTTCTCCGCCGCCTTATTTTAAAGGTTTCCATAATATCGAGCAATTGATACTTATTGAGGTTGATCTTCCAAACATCTATTTTGAAAGTATTCTTTTCGTGCGCTCTTTGCTTGATAAGAAGCTACCCATATTTACAGTATATGCAAATTCAGGTGGATAATCTGATGATGATGAAGAAGAAGAATAATTTCATGTCCTAGATGAAGTGAAACGTTTCTCATATGTGACATTTAATCACCTCAGGGAAGTTAAACTAGTGAACATTACAGGGACAAGGCCTCAAATGAAGCTTATCGAGCTTCTATTAACCAAGTCTCCGTCGCTAAAGAGATTTCTAATTGAGCCTAGGCCAGGAAATGAACCTCTTGATATAGTAGTTGAAATACTCGCTGAGCAAACAAAATTTCAGCGTGCATCACCTAAAGCAGTAGTTGTTTATGTCTATGATAAGCAACGATAGTACGGTCGTTAAACATATCATGATCTTTAGGTAATTACACGCTTTGGATGTTGAAGTGAATAGAGAGAAACAAATGTCCATGCAGTAATATAAGGCTGGGTTTTGCCTAGCAGTCCGAGGTCTACCCAGGATTTAAACTTTATGGGTTCAACTTTTAAGTTTTTAGTATTGAACCTAGTATATTTTTAAAGTTATGGACTTATGTAAAAAAAAAATACTTATTTCACGACGTTGTAATTTAGTACATTATGCTATATTTTGTTTAAGATGCAGTTAAACAACTTTTTGGGTTTTGATTAAAAAGGTTTTAGCAATTCGAAAATAAGCTTAAATTTAATTCCTTGACTACGTAAAGACATATTTACAGTCAGATTAACCAATTACATATAAATGTTTACACAACGAATTATCAATTTAAAGAGTGGGTAGCCTGTTTGAGTCGGTCAAACTACACTTTTGCAAAAGTTTTTATACCACTGGTGGATTGAAATATAATTCTTAAGAATTATAGATATTATAATTTAAGTAAATTCAAACTTGAAAGATTTAAAATTATGATAATCAAGCATTTTCTCACCTTCTATTAGTGTTTCACTCAGTCTCGATTCTCATCCATTATATTGCTTCTTTGACTAAATTCTAACTGAGTAAAATTAGTGTAATCTTTACTGTATAATTATAGTTTGGTAAAAACTTTATTATATACCCATTGGTGCACTTTGACTTTGAAAACTCTTTTTGGAAGAGGCTTAATCACCATTAGTAGATGATACAAACTTAAAATCTATACTAAAAACAGATTTCTTAAATTAAAAATAACCAGCGAATGTATAATATATTCATTGTCCATGTATAATATATGTATAACCATATACAATCAGTACATAATCTTTGCATACGACTAGAAAAAAATAATTATTGAATTCGACCGGCTCGTGTAAAGCCCCCGAGTTGAAACAAGGAAATCAAACTAGATCATTTTAGAAATAACTAGTCACTAGTCACGCGTGTGTTACACGTGTATCACTTGTTAACATTTACATATTTTATATATCAAGTCATGAAAAGCTAAATAGAACAAGTTTCATGTTTTTTCGTTAAGATTTAATCGTTTATTTTTCTTTTCTCTTTTTTTGTTTCCACCAATAACCGTTGAAACTTCAATATGATTCACTATTCCTTTTCGCAATTCTTTTAGATTAACGACGTATTAGAATTTATAGAATACATATAGAGGAGTAAACATTACTAATAAATAAAGAACAAATAAGCAATTAAACAATTAATTAGACTGCATAAATAAATTTTAATAAAGGTGGTAGGCATATAGATATGAACGACATATTTCAGGAACTAACTTCTTTCATGTATTCTTCCATACATAACAAATTTTTATTGAGACAGTAGTTTTCACCTAAAATCATTGAAGAATTACAAATTTTGTAAAATCAAATGCTTTTCTAGAATTTAAGATTATACTTGGGAGTTTTATCAGGATGGAAAACTCCAAAATGCTTCTCAGTCTCGGCCCCGATCTTAATATTTTCATCAAACATAGCAAACAAATAAGTTTCTATAGCAGTTCCAGGCTTGTGTGGAGTTCCTGCACCTGACTTCACATGACTAATCAAATTAGTGTAATAAGTTCCGCCATTATCTATGCTTGCTCCATCTCCACCAGCAGATGGCCATCCACTTTCCGAAACAACAATTGGCAAGTTTTCTCCGCCAGCTTTCTCAACTGCATAATAAGTTGCATCCAACATAGCGTCGAAAAGATTATGATAGCCTGATGGATCAGGATTTTGTTGTGTAAATAGTGCATAAGGGAGTGGCACATGAGCAGGATCGCCAAGATAACCAAAATATGGATATATATTTGCTAAGACAGGCAAGTTATTCTGTTTCAGGAACCCGATAAGTGGGTTAATGAAATCGCTTATATCGCCTCTAAATACTGACTGAGAAGGGGGATATGTGTTCGTCAAAATACCCGTCTCTATAGCCGTTGAGACCTTAACTTGAAGTTGAAATTTCGTTATCGCCTGTTGCACGTTTTGCAACGCGGGGAGAAGAAAGGGAGCAAATTTAGATGTTGCAACATTACTAGGGGATACTTCATTTCCAACATTAATATATTTGAACTTAACATCTGGGGAATAAGCCACAATATTTGCATTAACCCAATTTGCAGCTGCATTTGGATCTGTTAAAGCTTGAAGATTATCATTAGGAATATCAACAATTATTTCAATGTTACTTCCCTTAAGAGCAGTCAGTGTTTCAGCAATTGGATCATAAACTCTCATATTTGTTATGCCATTAGCTTTATAAAAATTTACAACATCTTGTGCTGATGGTAAGTTGTTACCATTTCTCCCATAGCATACTCCAATAGGTTGTGCCTCTGCATAGTGTAAATAAATGAATTTATTGTAGAATCAGCCAAAAATTGTAATAAAGGGATTCAAAAAGGTCATACTTGCGACCTAAACCAATTTTCTAAACTACTTATGTCACTAAAATGGAAACTTTTTCTATGTCGCGGAAAGATTCAAAAGTTTATATGCATAGAAAATTGTTATTCTCGCATTATTTACACAGTACTCCAACGAAAGGGATTCAATTGAACCCCTTCATTAGTCGTGCCTCCGCCATTACATAAGTACCCAAGTTGACACCCTTTGAAACTAAAGCACCTATTCTGCATAAGATTTTACGTTATCGATATAGTTTAATCAATTCTAATAGTTTGTTGACTATTTTTTCAAGCGACCAATCAATATTAATAAAAGAGGGTTACCTATAATTACATTTTAAGTAATCGAGTTACATAAATATTTGTATATCAATAATACATAGAACTTAAACTCGTCTATATAAATTACGTAACAGAAAAAGTGATTTAGTTTATTTCCTAATCATGCATAAAGCATAGGGGATACTTCATTATTTGAAGGTATAGAAAAAAATAATAACAATAAAATGTTAAAAGTAAAACCAAGATAATGAGATGAGGAGAAAATACCTATTATTTGAAGGTATGTCATTACCATACCAACAAATACAAACATGAACAAGTTAGCCATCATGAAAAAGCAATAAGAAACAAATTATGAAATGTAAAGTGTAGGAAAAAGACTAGAGGATGGCTTCTTATATAGGGGAAAAATGACTAGAGTGTAATATTAAAATTAGTTACTGCAATTTGGTCAAAGTTAGAAATATGTAAAGTCATTTAATATATAAACATATAAGCTTATATCACATGTACAGTATTGGAAATTATTTGATGGAGTAATTGAGAATTTGAGTTCAGATTTACTACTCCATTATTTATGAGTGGTCCCTCAGAATTTTGGAATATGATTAGAGCATGACTAACTTTTTAATATATATCTAATATCATGATAATATTATGTTTTTTTTTTTACTACATTGTGTTAGATGTCTAGCAATAGTTTATTTACATTTTAGATCAAAATTTAAATGAATTTGAAACCGCAGTTTAAATGCTATGTCAATTTTAAAATATTGATATATATTCCATGAGAAGTAGCACAACAAAGAAGAAGAAGAAGTAGTCATTCACGACGTGCATTGACTACGTCACAAATATTTACACAATCAAATTATTAATTAACTATAAATAGGTTATTCACGGTAAAAAAAAAATTGAAGACTAACCAAAAATTGAATGAAAACGAAAAAAAAAACCATTTTTTTGTTTTATTTGGTTTACGTTTGATTTTAAGCAAAAAATAATCGACAAAAATCGAATCGATATAGTTTCTGTTATATTTGGTTCAAGTATTAAAACGTTGATTTGGTTTTTTTTTAAGCAAAAATTGATCCAAACGGAATGATGAACACCCCTAAGGCCCTAATAATTTATCGACTGTGTAAAAGTTTTTACACCACTATTGGCTAATAATTTATTTTTTTTTAAAAAAATAGATGTTATGATTCAAGTAAACTCAAACTTGAAAGATTTTAAATTATGATAATCCATCATTTACTCACTTTCTATTAGTGTTTCACTCAATCTTGATTCTCATCCATTGCTTCTTTGACTCAATTCTAATTAGTAAAGGTTAGTGTAATCTTGATTATATAATTATAATTTGGTAAAAAGTCCACATTGGTTTTGACACTCATTTTGGAAGATGCTTTGTTATGAATTTCGAAGGGTTATTATTCATAAGGATATCCAATGTCGTATCGTTTGCGGAAAGCTGGATACCGGGTGTATACTCGACGCACAACACCTCCTAGGAGATATTATAATAGGCATTTCCTCGTCTTTCAAGTAATATCACAAACTCTGTTTAATTTTATAATTCCTATTTTATTTTTTTGCTAGTATTACGATCCTCTCTATATACTTTCTCCCTATTTATCAGTCATTTGACAAAATAATACGTTTAAGAAATTACAATCAAAGATCACTTATTTACTAATCAAACAATTTTTTTTTTCTTTCCCAGAAACTACACAATATCGCCCTCTAAAAAAATAGCCGATAATATATATATATATATANACACATTATCACATAAAATGGGATGGAATGAGTATATGCTAAATTTCTTGGTTCTCAGCCAATCTAGTATTGTTTCTGCTGAAACTTTCTTTCTTAGTCTGTTTTAAAAAGTATTATCAACGTATTGAAATGTATTTTCTTTCTTTTCCATACAGGGAATTGTAGATGAATCTCTAGTTGACACATTCAATTTGCCACTATATTTTCCATCCACTGAAGACATGACTAATGTGGTGAGAAAAATGATTGTTTTAGCATAGAGAGAATAGAGCTAACATATCCCCTGTCCAAGATTGATGCAAAGAGTTTCGTAACTCACTTGAGGGCTGGTTTAGAAAGAATATTCACCAAACATTTTGGAAATAAAATGGCGGATAATGTTCGTGAGGACTTTAGAAAAATGCAAAGAGACTTCTGCATGGTTGAAAGCTGAATATTACAAGGCTGCGAGGCAGTTGTTCGTGGTTTTGAAACATAAAATAAACTTGTAAAGGAGTCATCTTTATTTTGTCCATGTGACATCAACGACCAATACCAAGTTTAGCAATTACTTTGAATCACTAGGTAGTTTGCTTTTGTAGTATAGATGTGAAATTTCAAAGCATATACGTGTCAAAATTAAATTTGTCCGGATTTTTTTTTGAGAAAAAGGTCATTATTGCCCCTGTACTATTGAAATTAATGCACGTTTGTCCCCCGTTACACTTTACGTTCAATCCCCATCCTACCGTTAATAAAGTTTATGTAATTACCCCTAATCCTAAGGCCCAGTCAATATGGCAGCTGACCCCTTTTTTTTTCCAAGTCAGTTGCCAACTCAGACTTCCAATAAGTTATAAGCCCCAAATGGACGACCAAATCAGATTGACTCCATCCCACTCCCAAATCAGATTGACCCGTAACCATTTGTCCACTAAATAAATAGAATTAACCCGTCTTAAAACACCTTATTCACCTCTTTGGTTGAATCTTCTGGTACTTCAAAGAAAACGAGAGAACCAAACCGGTCAGGATCTTTGCTTCCAGTGGCGATTTCAAGCGAGGGTAAGAAATTTTTCTCCAATATCTGATGTTTCTGTTAGTTTTATCTCTTTCTTGTTTTATCCCAAAAAAGTTTTACTGGCATTTCGAATCCCTTTCAGATTTGTTCTTTGTTGGTTAGGGATTTCGGTTCCACTTTTCTTTTTCGATTATCTGAAGTTGATAGGTGTGTGTAGTTGTCATAGGGTTTCTAATTTTTTCTAAATTGGTATTTATTGAAGTTAGGGTTACAGAGTAGTTCTTGGTTGGTTATTTCTCCTATCTTTGTCGATAAGTTCAAGCCGGTAGTGTGTGTTTTACTTTGATATTCACTTGCATGTGGTTTTACAGTAATAAACCCTAATTTTACTCTTCTTGTTTGCATGTGCCTCATCTGGTATTGAATAGTCTTTTGGTGGTTTAGGGTTTCAATTTTAATATTTTGTGGTCCCAACATCTTTTAATTTTTTTTATAGAAAATAAGTGAATCAGAATTTTAACATTGGCTTTCATTTGTTCTTTTCTGCGTTATTTATTGGAGGGTGGGGCCGGGACACCTTATTCCCTTTAATACTTTAATGTATGGTCCCCCATATCGATGGCTGCATCTATTAGTTTATTATTGTTGAACTGACTTATTCAATTTGTGGTTGATTCTATTTTATTATCTTTATGCCTTTATGCCTTTATTTATATTTATTAGTTTATTAATTTTAACTGTAACGACCCGACCGACCGCTTAGAGCTTTTGTACTTTGTTCGTCAGTTCCCGGACATGAGTTGCCCCGCGTGGTGTATTATGACTTATCTAAATCGTTGGTTTTGGTTTTAGGTTAATCAGAATGAAATTGGAAGAACAGTTCTCAGTTTGAAGCTTGAAATTTGAAAGGTTTGACCAATATTTGACTTGTTTGTATATGATCTCAGATCAGAATTTTTATGATTTTGTTAGCTTTGTTAGGTGATTTGAGACTTGGGAGCGTGATCGGAATGCATTTTGGGAGTCCGTGGAAGGTTTAGGCTTGAATTAGCGAAATTGAGATTTCGGCGTTTTCCGGTTGATAGGTGAGATTTTTATATAGAGGTCGGAATGAAATTCCGGAAGTTGCAGTAGTTCCATTATGTTATCTGGGATGTGTGTGCAAAATTTCAGGTCATTCAGACGTGGTTTGGTTGGATTTTTTATCAAAAGCGGAATTCGGAAGATTTTTAGAAACTTAGGCTTGAATCCGATGTGTTTTGGTTGATTTGATGTTGTTTGAAGTGTTTTGATGATTGGAACAAGTTTAAATAAGGTATTAGGATATGTTGGTGCCTTTGGTTGAGGTCCCGGGGGCCTCGGGTGAGTTTCGGGTGGTCAATCGGACCATTTCATGGAGTTTGGAGTTGCAGATTTGCAGGTTCAGTGTTGCAGAGAAAATGGCCTTCGCGTTCGCGAGTAGGACCTCGCGTTCGCGAAGGGTTAGCTGGTGAAGGCTGGAATTTAGCCTTCGCATTCGCGAGGCAAGCGCCGGGTTCGCGAAGGGCTGTGCGATTGGTCATCGCGTTCGTGTGAAGTGGACCGCGTTCGCGAAGGTTTAGTCTGTGGAAGAATCGCGTTCGCGAGTGGCAAGACGCGATCGCGAAGAAGGAATTTTGGTCAGCGGATTTTTGTGCTTCGCGAACGCGAGGCTTTGACCGCGTTCCCAAAGAAGGAAAATATGCCTGGGCAGAATGTTTTTAAGCTCGTCTTGTCCGCGATTTCTAGGCTTATTTCCTCCATAGTTGATCATTTTGGGAGCTTTTTGAAGGAGATTGAAGAGGGATTCAAGGGGAATTACTTTGAGATAATATTCTTGGATTAAGAACTCGATTGAGTGGCGAGGTTCGACGGATTATGTTCTTGGTAGGGTGGTTTTATATTTCAAAGGCTCGGCGGATGGCGGGGAAGGATTGTCTTTTTATTTGGGCTCTCGTGATGGATGTCAGTGCAGAGGCTTCTCATATTGATTCAGTTCCGGTGGTGAGGGACTTTTCGGATGTGTTTCTTGTGGCCGGGCATGTCGCCAGACAAAGTTGTTTATTTCGGTACTGATTTGATGTCGGGCACCGTATTGTATAGCACCGGCAGAGTTAAAGGAGTTGAAGGAGCAGCTTCGGGATTTCCTCGATAAGGAGTTCGTTGGCCGGCCAATGTGGATGTGTGTTCAAATTTGAGTCGGCTTCGTTGGCTCCGGATGGCATTATTGAGGGATGTGTTGATTTGATTATTATTGAGCTTATTAGTAATCTGGGGAGGTCTATGAGTTATCTTTCTGTGTTGCGAGGTGTTGTGACTTGTTGGTTATCGGCACATATGGTGCGGTTCTATTGTGGTTTCATAGTGGAAGTCGAACAGGAAGAGTATTGGATATTGTTCGGCGGATGGCGTATCGGTTATGTCCTTTCGGGTTTGCTTGGTGTATGTTATTTGCTTCACCGTGGGTGTGATGATTTGCTTTGGCTCCAGACATCAAATTGCGTGTGGTTGTCGATTTCGAGCAAAGTGACCTGAGGTGTTTC